TGGTTAAAACTGTGAATTTTACGTTCTGTATATTTTACTCCAATTAAAAAAGAGACAGAGTTACCGCAAAAAAATTCAAACTAGAGATGCCTGGGTGGCTCAGTTGGTTAAGCATCCAACTCTTGGATTCCACTCAGGTCATGACCTCAGGGTTGTGGGAATGAGACCCATATCAGGCTCCTCACTATGGGTGGAGCCTGCTCAAGATTTTCTCTCCCTTCTCCCTCTTCCCCTCCCCACTCACGTGCTCTCTCTTTCTAAAAAAATAAATTAAATAAAGCAGTACCCTAAAACTCAACTGTCAGCCCACTGAACACATCAAAACAAAAATAACATAAAGGAGAGTTAGGGTCACCCTCTCTCTGTGAGATTCTGAGGAAGGCCGCATCCGTGCACCCAGGCTACCACCTCCATCACGTGGAGCTGATCTTCACCCAGGACGTCTGTCTAACATAAGCTCCCCCAAGGACTTGAAAACCCGTATCAATCACAGACCATGGCCTCAGAGAAAGAGCTAAGATTCTTATGCAGAATAATTAATCTTTCCTGATGGTATCTCCCTGACAGTTATTTCTGATCACGATTCAGATGAAACCGAAGGAAATGTCCAAGGATCTCCTCCCCTTCCCCTCCATGTTCTCTGGGGACAGTGGTGCTTCTGTCTTGTCCAGGGGGAACACTTGCCTTTGGGAAGAATGCCTCTAACTTTCAGTCTTGCTCAGGTAATAAACAGAGTAGCTTCAACACACCACCTTCTCCTTCCCCGCACAAAAACAAACCCTGGCTGGAGGTACATGTGGCCTCTCTGGCCAGTGTCTCTGACCCCCTTGGCCATGACCTCTCTGATGTCCACAGAAAGGCATACCAGCCTGGTGCCACCATTCCGGAGAGTAAAGGACTGTCTTGTGCCTCAGGGCACTGCTGCTCCAAATGCTCCATCGCCTGAGCCTAGCCACCAGGGCTCAATGGCATTTCCTAGCTGTCATTAAAAGCCCCAGGGTCAGCAATCAGGTGCAGAATTCTGCTAGAAGCTGGACACAGTGAGATGGTAACACAGATCCCCGTAGGGACCCTCCAACTGTGAGGATCCTCCTGCCCAACCACATGCCTTTTCTCACTGTGCTCTGTACTCTATCACAGGCCCTACCTCCAATGCACCTACTTTCTCTGTGCCTTTCCAAAGTTGACCCTTTCTTCTGGGTCCAGCTCAAATCCTGCATGTTCTGGGAAGTCACAAGAAATGGGCTTGACTCTGCGTGCTCTGGACAACAACAGCACCGGCTATCTTTTTAGACCATCCCTCCTAGGGGACCATGAATGCTGAAGGGACATGCCCTCTCTTCTTAAACCAGAGGCCCTGGGGACCCTTAGTTGGCCCAGTAGGGGCTCAGTAAACACAAATGCTGATTAGGTGAGAGATGCTGTCCCTGCCCTCTGGGGAATTTCAGTCTAAGCCTGGCACACAGACCAGGACTGGTGGGGGCGGACCATGAAGCCACCACCACAAAGGAACCATGAAAGCCTTCACTGAGGTGCGCTTTCACACACATTAGCTCACCCAAGACAGGCTGGCAGGTAATTATTCCCATCTCACTGAAGAGACAAGAAAATCAGGCTGAAGACACATGGCTGGTTAGAGTCAGAACCGGTGTGGTTCTGGTTCTGGGCTTAACATTCAGAGAGGCAGCCTGAGGAATGGCTGAGAACATGGCCCTAGGGCCAGGCTACAGGAGTTCAAATCCCAGACTGGCTTCTTGTTAGCTGTATAATCTGGGGCACGTTACTCCACTTCCCAGAGCCTTGGTTTCCTCATCCACAAAATGGGGAAATTGAAAAAAAAAAAAAAAACAGTACCTATCTCACGAGGCTGTAACAAGGGTTGAACAAGTTCATTTATGCCAAGCTCTCAGCCTCACCTGGTGCATTTCTGTGCATCCAGCCTCTAGGTACAGTGGCAAGAGGGTCCTTGAATTTCCAGGTTTCTCAGGTTAGGGCTGCAGGAAGTCGGTCTTCCTCCCCTTCCCTCCCAGTGTGTGCAGGTGTGTGGTTATGTGGCTTCCACATGGCAAAGCTCCATCAATTCACCTGGGCCCAAAGCAAATCCTGGAGCTCAACACTGAGCAATCTCTAAAATAAATAAAGTGAAAATAAACCAATTGGCCAGCTAACAGATTTTCTTCTTGTCTGCCTTGGTAATTAAGCCACTGTAGCCAGCCACATATTTCCCTGGTTCTGCTGCTGAGGTAAAAAGGGAGTTACAGAAGCTGCCAGGCCAGAAAGGCAAATACAGGCCCTGGGAAGAGGGCAGCCATGCTGCTGGCCCCAGGAGGTCTTGGCGCAGCCCAGCCTGGGCACTCAGTCCCATCTCTCCTCCGAGGCCAGAAGGGCCTAGAATTACACAGCTGGAGCTCCCTTACATAAGGAACACTTTCTTGCCTCCCACAATTTCTCAGGTCCAGCCCTCCAGGCAGGGCAGCTCATTACTGGCTCTTCTCTGTGCCAGTTCATTGGGAACCTGGAACCTGAACCACATAGGGAGCCTACCTGTTCCTACCTTCCTGCATCTCTTAGTGCCTGCCGGAGCATTACCTAGGGTCAGGCTCTGTCCACCACTTAGATGCTGCCCCGTAAACGCCTCCCTCGGCCAGCCCATCCAGGATGTGTCAACACGCAGACAAGGGAAGAAAGAAAGAAAGAGCCTCACCAACATTTTGAGAAAACCAGCAGTTGGGGAGCCCAGAAGAACTGACAAATGTAATACATTGTCTCCACAAGATTCTGTGACAGAAGAAAAACCCATATTCCTCAAGCTGGGAGAGGTCCCTGAATGTAACTTTGTCCATCAGACAGTGGCCCCCTTGGGTCCCCCCAGGCCGACAAGTACCTTGAGGCCTCCACTCCCAACACACTGGGCCTTCAGATGATCTTGCTGTGTCTAACCCAGTCCATACATCCTCTGGGGGCCTAGCCTGAGAGGCCAGAGCAGCTACAGGGCAAGAATGAACCAGAACTAGAAACTGGAGAGGCCAAGGGCGCCTGAACAAGGTGCATGGCCTGGAGAGGACAAAGCATGCTTCCTGCGCCCACCCCCCGACACTTCACCTCCAACCACAGCTGTCCTGTTATCCAGCTAGGTCCTGCCTAGTGGAGGCCTGAGAGCAGCTGTAAGGGGAGACAGTCACCCAAGAGCTCACATGCTGAGTCCTGGAACAGGACAGGGAAGCCCTCTCTATCTTGATGCTGGTGGTGAGTGGAGGGCCAGGGTTGTGTGATGCCGAAGGTCCAGGCTCTGGAATAGCCAAACTACTGCCTGGGTTCAAATTCTGCCTCTACCAGTTCCTGGCTGTGTGACCTTGGCCATGATGCCTTGCCTCTCTGTTCCTAGTTAATTTTTCCATAAAACAGGACAACAGCCAAACAACTGGGTTGTAGTGAGACTTGAACCAGGAAACAAATGTCTGCCGCTTAATGGGTACTGGCTGTCACGAGGGTGACCTGTTTGTCCAGGGTTGTCCGTCATGACCAGTATTAACACTCTCCTTTTCACTCTCAAAAGTGAATGGATTGCACGAGAAATTACAAAGCTGACTAGCTCTGGTTTTTTCTAAAGTCCATCTCGGTATGGCTCTGCAGCCTCTCTGAGCCCTGGGGAGCCACGTTCCCAAAGCATAGGTCCCCACAAATAACTCTGCCCATGCCACGGAATGGTCCATGCCATGGACTGGGCTTCTCCTTCCTTTTCCTCTTCACTATGTCTCTCCCTTTCGTTCCTCTTCCCCCTAGCCCATCCTTTCCTCTCTATCTCCTCCCCCTCAGCACCGCAGAAGGCTGGCAGGGCGCTGCAGAGGTATCTTTTGACTTTACTGGCAGCTCCCACTGACCCTTGGATGGGACACCTCACGAGGGCTCTAACCTGGGCCTTAGCAAATTTCTCTTCAAGGAAAGGAAACAACTGGAGATGTCAAAGAAATTACCTGGTCACTAGATGGATAAGTGGAAATAATGGGCCATTTGGCATACGTTTGTGTGTTGTTTAAAGGAAAAAAAAAAAGAACAATAACAGCTTAAAATGGCCCACTGGAGGCCAGAACCTGTCTATAAAAACAACCAAACACAGGGCAGGTTCCCCAGCAAGTTCACTGAGTGTAAGTGGACAGACATATGGACTCAACAGGCTTTCCCAAATGTTCAGGGAGATTCACTACATCTTGGCGCATACACACACATATACAAGGGTACACACACATATACACATGCACCTACACACACATACAAGCCTGCACACACACATGCACGCAGATGCACACACCTGGGCCCGAGTCAGTGGGGTGGCTGAGTCACAGGGCCAGACCACAGCAGGAACAGGCCAGAGAGGAAGTGCAGCCCTGGTGTCAGCCCATTTCCTGACCGCCTTCCTTTGCTCTGGGAGGTCCTCTTTCTGTCTCTTTGTCCTTTGATTCTCTATCTCTCTCAGTTTTGTTTTTACACAAGGCACCAGCCATGCTGCTGTCCAGGTCCACGTGGCAGGAGCTCCTGGCAATGCCCCGCAAGTGAGTTTTCATTTCTAGAATGAAATGTGCCTCTTCTATACACTGAACTGTGACCTTGGGCAAGTCACTTCACTCTGAGCCTCAGTCTCCCCATCTGTGAAGTGAAGAGGCTGGGCGTGGCAAAAGGGTCCCCCATGTCCTTCCTGATCTCAACCCCGGTGCTTCTGTGCTCTCCTCCAGTCCCCATCAGGGATCTTGGGCACCAGGGAGCAAGGGTTAGGGGTGGGGGGAGCCCTGCTGTTCCCCTGCACAGGGCGCGGGGAGAAAGCCTCCCCTGCCTCCCTTCGCCGCCGCAACTCCATGCACAGGCCCAGCGCACACAGGGCGGCCGCCGGGACCAGGGGAAGCGCCGGCCTCCCTCCCGGGCTGCCCCGGGCAGAGGGCGCAGGGGAGGCGCGCGCCCCCAGCCCGCAGCCCTCCACCCCTCCTCCACCCCGTCGGGCACTGTACCTTGGGCGTCGCCGCCGTCCCTCCGACCCGTCCCGCCGCGGGCTCGGCTCACAGCTGTCCTGTAGCCTCCGGCCGGGCGGGCCTGCTCCACTTTCCCCGCCCCAACCCTCGGCGGCCGCAGAAGTGGCAGCGGCGCCCTGGAGCCGGTCTGTTGGCGCCGCCGCCCCCTGGGCGCCCTCCGGGATCGGCGCGCGCCGCGCGGTGGGGTCGCGGCTGGCGGGAGGCGACCTCAGACTGCCAGGGAGCCTGGGCGGTGAGGGCGGGGCAGCTGCTGACTTAGCCGGCCTGACTGGTCAGGCTTCCCGGGCCCCTCTGTTCCCCAGTCCCCTATGCCCCTTGCCTTGGTTCTAGAATGTTCACAGGCTGCAGTGTGCCCTGAGTTTCTCTCCCTGTGGGTCTGCACCCCGGAAAACCCCACCACATCCAGGCTGTTACCTGCATGGAATTTGTCCTTTGCGCTTTCCTGCCTCTCCTATACACTGAGCTGTGGGCATGCGTGCCCCTATCATAAAACACCCAATATATATTTATTAATAAAGCATTAAATCTCCAGGGACCTCCCAAGGTTCAGGCTGAAGCATACCCCTCAGTCTGGTATACAAGGCCACTCTGGCCACCAGCTAATTTTCCAGCCTCACCAACTCTCCTTCAAACACACACATGCAACGGGGTTAGGCACACAGGGAGTTCTTACTTTGCCTGGAATGCCCTTCCCCTTTCTTGTCTGCCTGAGCAAGACTTGTCTGCATCCAGGCCCCACTGAAATGTCCTCTTCTTGGTGAATCCTTCCCCAGACACTGGCCCCAGCGGAACACCCCAGTTTCTTCTTTGTGAGCAAACTGTTCTGATGCTGGTGCCCATGTTAGCACACCACCCACCCCCCCGTTTCCTCTGGTCCTACAACAAGGATTTTGTTGTGTATTGTTTTCGTTTTTATTTTGGGGGACTACTGGAAGCCTTGGTTGTCTATGGGAAGTGAAGAAGGGCCACTGTCAAGGAGGCTGGCAGCATAGGCAAGAGAAATGCAAAGGAGACTCAGAGGTGTTTGCAGATCATGGTCGAGAATCTGTTGAAGAAAGAAGGAAGGGCGAGTGCAGAGGGGTCAGAGGTCCTGGTTCCAGAGGAGGCATGAGTGGGGGTGGAGAAGCCTTTTAGCTCAGAAACAGGGGCAGAAAATAGAGGATGGGGAGCAAGGCAGGAGGGGAAGGCGGAGGGATCCACCTGGGTGAGGGTGGCCACCATGTTCACTAGGAGGCAGGACCATAAGTAATGGCTGGAGGGTCTGAGCAAGCCAGGGGGTTGGGTAGCATTGAGACACCTGTGCTGTGAACTGTTGCCTCCTCTGTTGGGGGAAAGGGACATCCAATAAGGGAGAAGTAGCAAATAGGCTTGGAGAACACAGGAACAGTCCAAGAGGTGTGCTTCCTGAGTCACCTTTAAGCTCCATGGCACCCTTCCTCCTCACATCTCTATGTTTTCTTGCTCACATACTGCTGCCAGAGAGCTGAAGGCCCGATCGTCTCTCTTGGTCATCCCAGGAGAACAGTGGAAACATTCACTGTTCCAGTTCAGGAATTCCCCTGCTGGTCCTTCTTCCTTATTGTGAGTGGCTATGATTATGGAGTTGCCAACTGGCAGAGGCCAAAAAACAAACAGACCTTTCAATGTTGACTCTTCCAGGTGCCGTGCAGCATGGCAGCACCTGCCCCACCTCCCACAGCCTCCCCAGCAAAGTTCAAATCAAACAGTTGCTGAGGGGCAGAAGGTTGGTGAGCTCTACAGGAGCAAGTGGACTCCAGGGGAGATTGTCCTATATCTACAGCTTCCATCTTTCTCCTGTTGGAAAATGCTGGGCTTGTGGGGGCTGGGGGAGGAGATATTTTCTATGAGATTGTAGGGGCCAAGTCAGACTCACAGATCTTACTGAAACATAAAGCTAGTGCCTGTGTGGCTCAGTTGTTTAAGCATCTGCCTTCGGCTCAGGTCAGAATCCAGGGGTCCAGGGATGGAGCCCTACATTGGGCTCCCTGCTCATCAGGGAGTCTACTCCCTCTGCTTCTGTCCACCACCCCCCAACCCCTATTCATGCTCTCTCAAATAAATAAAGAAAATCTCAAAAAAGAAAGAAAGAAAGAAAGAAAGAAAGAAAGAAAGAAAGAAAGAAAGAAAGAAAGAAAAGAAACATAAAGCTAGAATGTAGGAAAAATAAGGCCTCCTTAAAGATATTTATGAAAGCCATGTACTTCCCCTGCAGGTTTCACCAATCTGGAATCCTTCAGAGGTTGGACAGGTAACATGTGAGCAATGACTTTCTTCCCTCTCTCCCACACAAGAATGGGCTTCATCATTCAGATGGAGTTGTAGTTAGGGAACTGGAAAAGAACTAAGTTACAGAGCCAATCCTGTCTATCGTCGAGGGGGAATTATGGTCCAGGATGACTTGACCAGTGGCAGTGGTGACATGACTACTCCTGGCTGTGAATGCAGGATTTCATTCCACCCCTACCATCTACAAGTGGACTCTGTTGCTACCTTGGGTGGGATATTGGTTTTCCCATCAGGAATTTCTGAATTTCCCATTTATGGAGCAGGGAAAGAAAAAGCACCACACAATCAAGAGTGTCCCCTAAAGGACAGTAGAGCCATAGCATTATTTCTGCTAAAAAAATTTAAGGACTTGCAATGAGTAATGTGTTGCCCAAAAAGTACAGGAAAACAAAGGTAGAATTAGCCCCTGTGGGAATGATGAAATTAATGTTTTATATGTACTCTTTTGCTATTTATAGAATTTTTTAAAATGTATTTATTTGAAAGAGAGAGCACAGCAGGGAAAAGGACAGAGGGAGAAGTAGGCTCCCTTTTGAGCAAGGAGCCCCTTCTGGAGCTTGATCCCAGGACCCTGGGATCATGACCTAAGCCAAAGGCAAATGCTTAACCAACTGAGCCACCCAGGTGCCCTGATATTTATAGAATGAGAAAGGAAAGGACAGTTCTTCTGTCCTCATGAGTTTGCTCTCTCACGCATGTGTACACATGCACACAAAACCCAACTGCATTACCCTGGCTACTAATGTAATAAATAAAGCAATCAGAAACACAGGGAAGTAAAAAAATGGTTCTGTAAGCCAAGAAATGTTTGTAAGCCGAGTTTGGGGGATGGAGCCCACTTGCTCCTGAGAGCAGTGACAACAAAGGGAAGCTGCTGCCACTTACATTACGGGATGGCTCCAAATTAACTAATTCTTCCACTATCAAAAGGTGGTCAGGAGCATTTCCATTTGGCAAGATGTTTTGGTAAAGGAAAAACAAACTGTTGGTTTTTCTAAGCTGGTGCTCTCAACCAATACTAGATTTTCGATATCAAAAATTATACGAGCTGACAATTTGGAATTTGAGAAGATAAATTCTCATGACCTATTGAAAAAAATATACAACCATCTCTTGACCCATTAGAAAACAAAAATAATCAAAACAGCAACTGTTTGACATGATCTCCAAGACACACAATCATGAGGCTCTAAAACAGCTAACGAAATAGAAATATAATCTCAGAGTTATAATTGAATTTTTTTTAATTTTTTTTTATTTATTTATGATAGTCACACAGAGAGAGAGAGGCAGAGACACAGGCAGAGGGAGAAGCAGGCTTCATGCACCGGGAGCCCGACGTGGGATTCGATCCCGGGTCTCCAGGATCGCACCCTGGGCCAAAGGCAGGCGCCAAACCGCTGCGCCACCCAGGGATCCCCTATAATTGAATTTTTAATTCTGTTTTGAAGGTTGAAAGTCCTCTTATGTCCTGTGGAATTTCTGTAATGTTTCTTGTCCCCCATCTCATCTCCACATTTATCCCAGATTTCAGTGCCTCTCTCTGGACTATGCCCTTGACTCTGTCCTCTCAATCTCTCCTCTATCCAATGTAGCCTACACGCACAACTGCTGGGTGATGTTGTATATAAGGCATAGCTCCAGACATGTCCCTTCCCTACACAACAAAACCTTCCATGAACACCCCTTTTGCATTTTCAGAATAAAAGTCATAGTCTTTTGGTTGGCCTCCAAAGCCCTCAACAACCTCCAAGCTTGCTTGTCACTACTTACCCATAAATAAGTGGTAAAGAGCCCCACATTTACTTTTGAGTAACAGTAGCTCCATGACTCAGTTTTCTCTGCCCAAAGGGCCTTCCCTGCCATCTCCATCCAAAGTCTAGGACCAGGCAAAGCTCTTATGCTGTCTGCTGCAGGAAGACATGGCTCATTGCTCATAGCTCTTCCCTTACCTCCCAGCTACTTCTCTTAGAGACATGATCACATCGCCAGCCACCTTAGATCCAGTTTACCCTCACAGCTGATGCTGTGAAATGGGTGGGGACTGAGAGGTGGAAGCTAACTCTTCAGCTTTGAACCAGCCAGGGACTTCTGATCTTCAGTTTCCTTACCTGTAAAACATAGTTACAAACAGGACCCACCTGAGAAGGTTGGATTGCGAGAAGTAAATGACATAATTTGTGTGAGAAGCCCTTAGCACAGTACCTGATATGATGTCAGGGCCCCCATGTCAGGATAGAAGAGTATATTGGCGGGGGAGGGAAGGAGGGAGGGACAGAGAAGACAAGACAAGGAAAAGAAGGAAAGAGAAAAAAAATCAATAGCCTTTCTTTTCTACTGGAGTCAAAGGACCATTACCTCTTTTAGAAAGAGCACATACTTATAAACTTCCTTGAAGATAAAATTTTAGACAAAAATGGCATCAGGGGGATTCCTGGGTGGCACAGCGGTTTGGCGCCTGCCTTTGGCCCAGGGCACGATCCTGGAGACCCGGGATCGAATCCCACGTCGGGCTCCTAGTGCATGGAGCCTGCTTCTCCCTCTGCCTGTGTCTCTGCCCCTCTCTCTCTCTGTGTGACTATCATAAATAAATAAAAAAATTAAAAAAAATGGCATCAGGATGGGAGCCCAGGTAGCTCAGTCTGTTAAACATCTGACTCTTGGTTTCGGATCAGATCATGATCTCAGGGTGGTGGGACCGAGCCCTGTATTGGGCTCCACATTCAGTGAGGAGTCTGCTTGAGATTGTTTCTCCCTCCCTCTCCCTTTGCTCTTCCCCTCGCCATGTGTACACTTTCTCCATCTCTCTCTCTCAAATAAATAAAATCTTTTTAAAAATGACATCAGAAAAAAAATGACATCAGGAT